CCCCCCCCCCCCCCCCCCCCCGCGAATTGCCACGAGTGTCTCCCTTCAGGGCTTTGGGCCTACCTCAACCCCATGCCCGGCATGGAGCTCCCAACGCTGGTGTTGGGCACCGTAGCCGCGGCCGGCATGGGCCTGGTGGTGACGTCGCAGGCCAAACAGCCTTGGGTACCTGGCAACACTCGGAAGCTGAAAGGCACTATGAGTCCAGATCAGAGCAGGTCGGAGGCGCTGATATGCCCGTGGCCATCACCCTCCTGAACAGCGCTTCTGGTTGGGCCCTGACGGCAGAGGGCTTCGTACTCTCCAACAACCTGCCGCTTCTCCAGCAGCCTAATCGCCCGATCTCGAGATCGTTTGAAGGTATAAAGATGAAAAAAGAGTAGGGGCATCGAACATGTTTTTTCAGTGGACGTCTAGAGTATAGGGCCTGGAGAGGTAGCTGTGAACTCGGTGCTGCGTGCCCTAGGCTGACCATTGTCGGAGCCCTCATCGGCTCTTCTGGTGCTATTCTTAGTCAGATCATGTGCGAGGCGGGTCGCGTACAAGGGCTTCCAATTCTTGAACACTACACATTGTCCATGGCGGGTGTGATGTACTAGTTCCTAAACACTGCGCCGCAAATAGGACACTGGTCGGAAAGCAGGGAAGCAATGAGAAGAACCAGACATCCGGAGGCAATGAATCGCAACATCCTGGAAGTCTTGGGTGTGACCTCAAAGCCCAAGAAGCAGAGCGATTCCACCTATCAGAAGCTTGGCTTTGAGCACTGGATAGGGTCTCTCAAAAACGGAAGTGTAGGAAGTTATCATTGAAGTCACCCGGCTGGTTGTTGAACGGAGGATCGAAGGCGAGGTGACAACTACTAACAACGATCACGTGGCCGATCTCTTGGCGACGGCCAAGAAGGCGCGGAGCCTGCTCACAAAAAGGCTTTTCTCTGACCAAGTTAGACATGTATACTACAGTCACGGAATGACCCGCATGTGCGAAAGCTGATGCGGCTCTGGCTGCCTACTTTAGACCTTGGTCAGCAGAAAGGTTCGCCCTGAGTCTTCATACACCACCTATTGCTGGAAGCGGGCTGAAAGTGTGATTTCTGCGATCGAACAGGTCGTCATCGTTCCAGGCTACGGTGTTGCGGTATCCAAGGCCTCCTGTTCATGCTTTCGCACTCCAGGGTGTTGGGGCAGCATGCAAGACCTGCAAATACCTGTTAGGCTCAATATGCCCTAGCACAGCTGCTGGAGATGCTGACAGAGTGGTGGACTCAGCACATCTCAGCACCATGCAGTGACGGCCCGGATGCATCTGCCGTATGCAAGGAACGGTACAGACGTGAAGGTCGCCATCCACCCAGTGGCCGGCCGAATGCCTGGGCAGCTGAACGTGCTGCTGGCAGAGGCAGGCGTGCCATATGATCAGGCCAGGCTCCCCGAAGCGCTTCTCCGTGGCTTGCAGAAGAGATGTTTGGCAGATACTTGCAAGAAGTTCGATCCATGCCGCACCGTGCATTGACTAGTACTATCTAGTACTGACTGTACCACTTACCCCTTCGAAGCTCATTCGTGAGCTGCGGATGGTCATCATCTACCGTGCTGCGAAGCTCGTGTCGAAACGCTTGCAGAACGTTTTCAATTTGATTGTGTTTGAGTGTAACGCTTGCTGTATCTGTATGATTCAAGGATTCATGTTTGCACAGGTCCTAGAGATGGACGAGCTGAACGATCCTTCCGACTGGGAAGACGTGGACGTTTCACTGGTCGTCGGTGCCAATGATACAGAAGCTGGACCGCACAAGACATACACACAGAGGCGTCGGTATCTTTTATTATGTTACTGCAGAAAGGCTCCATTCCTCAGACCCCCTCAGGCCCTAAACTGAAGACAACCCCCCACACCTCTCGCTTCCCATCCCGTTCTCAGCTGCGCCTGCGCTCCCTTTCAAACCCGTAGCCGAAGGGGTTGTTGATTCGCAGGACTGATGTGCTAGACACGGGGTGACATTCTCAAGATGTTGCTTCTATTTCCGAACGAAGGTTGCTGAGGTCCCCCCAATCTAGCGAAGTTCCCGGCAGACTTTCTGAACCGGTTGCACTCGGCACTGGAAGACTGCCTACTAGGCTCGCAACAGTTGGGGTGGCATTTAGGAGGTGTCTGCTGGAATGTCAAGGCTCAGGGTACACGTTATGGACATTGGGCGCTTTGCGGGAGGATGGTTGCTAAGGTCAACTCATTGGCAGAGGACGATCCGAACAGTCCGATTGCAGGAATGCCTGTTATCCGACCCTTAGCTTCACTCTGCCTTACTCTTTGTTTGCCAACTTGTCACCGCCTCTTGGCTCTCTGTGGAGGTTGCTTCTTGCGAGCAGATACGCATGCTGTGAAGGCGTCTGGTTGGCCAAGAAATGCATTGTCGTAAAGCGCTCCCTGGGAGTGGGCTATGCGGCCTTGGACAATCCGGTCTTCTACAAGGAGTGCTAAGATGTGCAAGGCTTCGAAGTGCGCCTCCAAACCCGCGTCATGGAGTGTAATCGGTTCCGCGTGAGATGAATAGTCTGTTGTCTGGCTCCTCGGCGTAGTTTTGTGATTCATTGGCAGCACGTGCTGGCCTCTTGGCTTCAATTCTGGATTCAAGCCTGGTTTTGCATCATGTCCAGAGATGGGGTCAGAAAGCTCAGAGAGGACCACACCGACATGCTCCTCGGTGACGCAAAAGAGGTAGGGCAGTCGTTGGAAGAGCTTGTGCACACAAAGCTGCACCGGCATTAGATCTAGTGCCAACAGAATTCTGTTGGTCTCGTGTCTCGAAGCTCGAGTTTCGCATCAAGGACTGAGGTTGGTTGTCTGTTGTAGCCAAGAGAACGGCATGTTCCATGTGCATCCAGCCACCCTCAAAAACGCGGCTGTTGGCTTGCAAAGTCAAGCAATGCTTGTCTTCAAGCCATTCTCAATACTCGCAGGCTTCATGAACACAGCTGATGCCGGGTCTGTCAGTCAAACGCCAACTTCTAGCTCCAGCTTGCCTCTACATGCGTCTCTGCTGTGGTCGAACCCTGCTATCTTGCCTGCGTGCGTGGCAGAACAGATGCCCTGCATAGCTCAAAGTCTTTAACTTACTTTTTCAAGCGCGGCAGTGGAGGTTTAGAGTGACAGGTCCAGTTTCCGAGGTCCCAGATCTTTGCTGTCGCAAGTTCCCCTCAGCAAGCCACCGAGGATCCTCACCACTCTCAAGTGTTGATCCGTGTTCCGATGTTTACGACAACCGATTGCAGCAATGTACTTCATCTGCATGTTTCGTCAATGCATCAATATGTAGCGATAGCAGTCCTCATTCTTCTCTTCTCGGGTGGTGGTGCTGTTTGCAAGTTACTGAGGCAGGGCCCATTTGTGATGCTGAAACGGCCCAAGCTCAATTAGACCTGAGTGCCCACTGGTGCACGTTCATGGAAATTGTGGGAGCAGCAACACCTGGTCAAAACAAGGTTATGACCAACTAGTCACTTCCGGGTATAGGCCTAGTACAGAGCCAGACAGCTCTGGCTCTCTTCCGAAAGCCATTAAATCGCAGGTGCTGACTGTTGACCTCCACCTGATTCGCCAACAACGTCAGGCTTACTAGGGGCTAGCCATTCCAGTATGCAAAAACGAAGTGATACCAGCGAAGTCGGCACTTGCAGTTTCTACTTCCTCCGTATGGACAGCTTTGAGCATTCATAGCGATCGTCATACGAATGCCAGTAGGATTGGCAATTGAGACTGTCGTCGATGATGCTGCTGATGTCGGCGACACTGCTGTCAGTGATTGTTGTTATCATTCCTTTTGCTAACTTACTGTTGGTTGGCGCAGTCCTTGCCGCTGCTGGTGAGTTCAGCTGGCAATGATCTTGATGATGATGTTGACGGTGGTGATGATGGTGATGATGATGAGGAGGAGGACATGATGAGGAGTCGATGATGATGACGACACCCGTCAGTAGGGTCAGAGGGAATCCAGGATTCCTGAAGATACATTGCCACGAGCAGGAACTGCAGATTGCTGGCAAGCACGTCACGCAGCTTGTCCACGACATGTGCTTTGGCTCCACCAGCTGTGGCTATCACTGTTGCATAGCACTGGAAGCCCTAAATGGGAGTACCGAGGATCTGCGACCGCGGGGAGTGCAGGGCTGAGGTTGGCAAAACTGAGTCTTGCTCCGGCAGGGAGTCGAGGAGAGCCTCCAAGCAGTGACCCAAGAACTGGAAACGGCTTAGGCCTGTCCCTGCCGAGCAGCGCATGGATGCGGCTAGGCAGATCAAGGACGATGCCTGCCATGCTGAACTCGACGACGCGCTCCCGTGAGCTTTCTGCAGTGGGCCTTTGTTTTCTGTGCAAGGAGAAACACGCCTATCTCTGCAAAGATGTGGTGACCGGGGCTCTGTTGCAGGGCCATTGGCCTAACCCGTGAGTTTTTCATCTTCATTCGCTAGTATTAAGTTTATCGACAGCCGATGTGCATCACTGATTTCTCGCAGTCTCGTGGCTCATGGACAGTCCTATCTCTGTCATCATCACCACTGGCAACAGTCACCACTGTATTACCATCCCTGTCAAAATCCGTCACCATGGGCAACCTGTGCAACAGAGTTATCGACATCATCGGCATCATTGTCGTCGCAGTCACAAGCATAGCAGCCGATTTTTGTCATGTCATCACCTATCATGATGATCCACAGCATCGTCAAGACATCCTTTATCTGCACTTCATCATTTTCATCACCACCTGCCATCATCTTACACCCGTGCCACTATTCTTTTGATACCGTTGCAGTCGTCCTCTTTGCAGTGATTGACCTCGTCCTCCTCGATATCGTTCTGCTCGTCCTCGTCCTTGTCCCCATCGTCGCCGCGTTGCAGCCGTCGTTGCAGTCGCCAGGTCGAAGAGTATCAGAAGTTTGACCAGGCATCTGCTCTCGGGGTTTTGAAGTTTTCGGGACTTGCGAGAAACGCCCAAGCCTATGAGTGCAGACTGACAAGTTAATGCAGCGGCAAGCCTGCATGTGGGCGATTTCCTGTTCCTGGTGTGACGCAGCCCCCCGACCCGTCTGTCTTGTCTCATCAAACTCTGGCTTGCCTCCACGGGTGCCCTGGACATTGGCAGTGCGATTAACTCTCAAAGCAAACCTTCACGATCCCCAGCACTCCTTGGGGCAGGATCCGCGGAGATTCAAGACTTTGCAGGGGCACTTCCAGAAGACGAAGCAGGCGGTTTTTCACATGGAAACTTCTTTCGAATAGTGGTCTGTATGCGTCTGTCTTTTTGTGCTCAGGACTGGAAGATTCAGATTGGCTACGAGCGCTTCCTGGCTCCTGAGGCGCAATCGCCTTTTTGCCACTAGTAGTGGCTTTGTGGAAGGCCTTGGCCCTTTAAGAGGCTGAAGCCTTCAGACCTGTGTTCTCAGATCTTCTTCCATCCGGAGATCTTCGTTGATGGGATGACGACCCCTCTGCCACAGGCACTGCCGCCTTGCTATGAGTTTGCGATGTTCGCGCCACAGAACCCGTGACGAAGGTCGTCGATGACTGCATCTCGCAGTGTCCCATCGACTACCGGCGCCGGTCTTGGACTCAGCGGCTGGCCATGTTGTGCATCAGTCGATTCGGCAGAATTTCCCCAGTTGCAGCAGTTCTGCGAACTGCCAGGCTCTACAGCAACGTTGTGCTTTCTGGAGGTTCTACAGCTTTTCAGAACTTCAAGGCCAGCCCTGGGCGCATGCCACTGGGGCTAGCAGGTGCGGGCTGACGGCTGTTATGTCTCGATGCTTTGCCTCGCCAGACAGCCTGGTCTTAAATAGCAAACGGAAGACTACGGCTGTTCCTAGCTGTTTCTATTTTGCAGGTACCATCATCACCATCAGAATCATGACCTATGACTAGTCTTGCCATGGCTGCTGTCGTTGTTAGTGTTTGGATAGTGGCGTTGTTCCTAGTGCTCCTGGAGCTTACGAGCGCGTATAGACGTGCTATTGCTGGTGCCGTTGATGCTGCTGTTGTTGATGTAGCCATCATCGCGCTCGCAGTGTTCTCTCAGAAGTGCTCGTCAGGAACGCTTGCAAAAAGATGTGCAGCACCTCGTGGACGAGCGGCTGCAAAAGGCGAGCAGAAACCTTCACCCACACAAACTTGATCGAATATTATCTTCATTCCTCATAGTCCCGTATCCCTATCCCGCAAATCGAGTCCAATGGATCATCTCTACAGTCTTTACATGTGCTAGCGACTACTGCCCCACTCTCACATCTGCTCTGGTGCAGGCGGAGCTGAGCACTGGCCGGCGGCCACAAGACATCGAGGCAGCGCCAACACATCAACATCTGGGCGATTGCCGGTTCAGCATGTATGCGGGTTCCATCGCTAGCCGTCTTCGGATTTCGAGCATTCAGCAAAGATGACGATTCTGGGAACGGTTGGAAGGTGCCACTTACATGATACATGGGCCTACCATTAGCTCAGAAAAACCATCAGCCTCGGGATAGCTCTTGCTGTCAGGTCCTTGTGCACGGCAGCAAGAAGAGAGCGCAGCAGCCAGCGACCAATGCGTTGGTGTGAGAGGATAATTAAGAACCGGAATGTTTGCCCCATTCACTCAATACTCAAAGGTCCCCCAGCAACGCCCCAAGCTCTAAGCGGAATTCGGCGGAACCAACGTGATAAGTCAAAGGCTACGAATACCTTGAAAGGGATGGCTTTCCGAGCGCCGGAGACACCCCTCCTAAGCTAGCTTTACTCAGTCTACATGGATAGAGGAAGCCTTTGTGCCGTCAATGTGGCTGTCTCCACCGTATAGGGGTTGCTGGGATCCCTTTTTCACGGCAGCTTCTGAGGCGCTATGCTGCCTGGCTGGGCGGCTCTCTCCTCGCACAGGCGCATGCAAGGGCGTGGGGCGGCGGCAAGAAGAGGGGAATTGGTTTTTGTGCACTTGCGGACTTGGGTGGAGGCATTCTTGGTGGCATTCTGATCATTCTCACATTTTTTGGACACCTGGTCCTGCCTCTGGATACCCACCGCACCCACATCATCATCATCGCGCCTTGGGGTAGCGAGAGGTGGTGGTGGATATGGTGGTAGTGGTGGTGATGGTGGTGGTCATGGTCGTGGTCGTCGTGGTCGTGGTGGCGGTGGTGGTGGTGGTAGCAGTAGTAGGAGGAGGAGGAGCAGGGGTAGCAGTTGCAGTTGCAGTAGCAGCAGCAGCAGTAGCTCTAGCAGACTCTAGCAGCAGCAGTAGTAGGACGGCGAGGGACTGGGACGGGACTAGAAGCTGTGGGGAGAAGTAGGAGTAGTAGGTGGAGTGGGCGCAGGAGGAGGAGCGGGGGGAGCACGAGTAGAATGAAGAGGGCTGGTACTATTGCTGTCGTAGTGGCCGTGGCGACCTGACCACTTGGCCAGGAAGCCATTTTCTCAAAAATGGTGAAGACAAAGCGTGAGTACGAGGAGGCCAGGCCGGTCCCCATGGTGCTAATTGACATGCATGGGGACATGCTCAGGTCGGCCCAGCTTGTATGCGGAGCAGCCCAGTCGTAATGGGCTGAGCAGCTCCAATCCTGGAGGTAAGCACGAGGCCGAGTCAGAGCTTTCCACGGCTGATTCGAGCCCTCAAGACTCGAAGATGCTTGGAATTTCCTCTCCCGCTCAAAGTCGCAGCGGATTTGGACATTGGTAGGCCTCATGTTTCCGCCTGGCTGGACCAGCCTCACATTCCCAAGGCGGTCTCGTGTTGTGCCTGTGATCGATT